ACACACACACACACACACACACACACACACACACACACACACACACAAAATCGGGGGGAATAGTTGACTCACTAAAAATGCAATTTCAGTTGAACTTGTCAAATAAAAAGGAGAGTAAAATTCCCCAGAAGTTGAAACATTCAGTTTAGACATTTATGAAACTAAACATGTTGACTTTTCATTTGAAATAATGGTTTATTTTGAAATTTAACTAGATTTTACTACACAAAAAAGGGTTAAAAACACCCAAAAATGGCCCCTGAACCCCCCTACAAAAATCAATTGTTGGCCCAGCTCTGGTCATTAGTCCCCAATCCAGCCTGATTCCCATTTTTCTCTCTTCCCCTATTGGCCAGTGCTCTGTTCCCAACATCCATGTGGTTGTTTATCATAAAGTTGCCATTATTCCCTTTCATTTGTTCTGTATTCACCATTGCAACTGGGCACATGCCCATTATCATGTAATCATTCTCATGCTTTCGCCCCCGGAGTTCAAACCAGAGGAGATGTGTTGTGTCTAGCCATTCCATCAGCCCCTTTTCCTGTGACAGTATTGTCTGGTCTGTGGGGGTGTTGGCTCCCTTAGGAACATGGATAATTCCCAAATCACTCAGGTGGGGAGGAGGGATGGAGCTGTGAGGGGGCAGGGAACTGATGCACTAGACAGGAATTAAAATGAGAAACAAGTGAATTGGGTTTTGTTTCATTCTGAGAGATTTGCACAGTTAAACCTTCTTTCTTTCCCTCCTGGCCTATGCATGAAAGCCAAGATCTCTGCTATAACAATTGTGCATTTACAGAGCATGGATACTGCACTCAGGACATTTATACCCCTTGTTTTAATTTCTACCATTTGGAACCACTGGGAAAGTAGTGGGTGTTAACAGCCGGGCCAAAGATTTCTCCCTGTCTGCTTTTCCGTCTGCAACCGCTTATTGCTTCTGAGAAATCTGAATCTAAATTGTTGCCTCTTACAACACCATTGTTAAAGCATTACTAAAAATCACTTATGCCTCTCCCAGCCTAAGAAATATAGGATTTGTTATATTAAAGAAGAGCTTTAGTTTCTATATTGAATATGCGTCCATCAAACCATTATCCCGATGCTCCAGAGTAAGGCGAAATCTCCCACAAGGCTCTTATGTCACTATACACTGAGAGCACCTTAAATCAAAGTACTGAGACTTTATGGTGCAGTACATAACTTTGAGCTGTATCGATCATGTCTGAACTTGAGGCGAGCCAGCATACAGCATTCACTAAACTCCCAAAGTTCTATCGCAGCAAGAAGCAGGCTCATGTAAAATCTGGGATGAATTCTCTAAGGATGGTAATCCGAAGTCCAGGTCAGAAATCTGGAGGAGATTGCCCTGGAACATTGATTCCAGCTTGAAACCTGTAGTGATAGTTTATAGACAAGATTAATACACAAGATTAATAGAATCTTTAATTGAGCATAATATGGTTGTCATATAGAGCTGACCAGAAAACTGGGACATTTCAAAATATTTCAGTTGGGAACTTTTGATTTAGAAATTCACCCTTCAAATTTTTCCCATTGGGAAACTGCAGTTTTCCTGGGGGAAAGTGTCCCACCACCCACCATCACTAACCCAGATTTTTTGCTGTTTCCCAACTGAGGAAAAAATAGTATAAAAAAGTGGGGAGGGGAAAAAAATTTTTACCCTTAAAAATGAAATATCACTTTCTCTCAGAAAGTAATACTTCCAATATTTTGTTACTGTTCTCTAATAATAGAAATTGGAAAATAGTAACAAAGTATTAGAAAATGGGCTTTCACCCACTTTCTCACTCTTTTTGACCATTTTTCACCCGGCAAGAGTTGGAAGATAGAAGGTAGAGAGAAACAAACCTTGATTATCTTGATTGATCAGTCCTTCAGCCCTCGTATAGACTGCGCTGACCACAACATGTCTTCCGTTCTTCTCGTATCCTGGCCTTCTTTCTCCATGTGCGGCCATGTCTTTTCATGATAAAATCTTCCCATCTCTTTAGAGGTCGGCCGAGTGATCGTTTCAGTGGGTACCAGTCGGCGACAGCTGCAGTCCATCGATTGTCAGTGAGCCTCACTGTATGCCCGACCCATCACATTTTACTACATCCTGCACTCCACTCTGCTGTCTGATCACTTCATTGGGGACTAGGTCACAGATTGAAATTCCCAGAATTCTTCTTTCCATCACCCACTCCATGACAGACAGTTGCTGCTCCTCTGTCTTCGTCAGTGCCCATGTTTCGCTGCCGTACAACATTGCTGGCCGTACTGTTGAGTTGAAGAGGCTGGCGCGTGCTGCCTTGTTGATTTTTCCTTGAAGGACATCCTTGATAGAACTGAATGCACACCAACCTGCTTTCTTTCTTTGTGAGACTTCACCTTCCTGATCGTGGCGCATGTTAATTTCTTGGCCCAAATAGACATATTGCTCAACTTCTTCTATTTGTTCTCCCTTGATTGTTATTTGGGCTTTTGGCAAGGTATCAGACCGCATACATTTCATTTTGGAGCAGTTAATTTGCAGTCCGACTTGGCTGCTTTTTGTGTTGAGTTCTCACAGCATTTTCTGTAGGTTGATAGTATTTTTGGCAATCAACACAATATTGTCCATGAATCTGAGATGGTTTCACTGCTCTCCAATTCCACCCTTCCAATTCATCTGCCTCATTACCATTTCGAGGCAGGCTGTGAAAAGTTTCGGTGAAACCGTGTCTCCTTGTTTCACCCCTTTCTTAATTGGGATGCAAAGGGGAGTATCAAATAAAGTTATATCTGTGGTGCAGTCAGAATTTGTTTCCTTTAATAGTTTGATATACTTTGTGTCAATGCCCTGCTGTGCAGAGCTTTCAATACTGCATTGATCTCTACGCTGTCGAACGCTTTTTCATAGTCAATGAAGGCAATACATACAGGGAATTTGTATTCTCTTGAGCGTTCCAATAGCTAGTTTATAGGGAAAATATGGTCCATTGTGCTGAAATTCCTCTGAAAGCCTGCCTGCTCTCTCGGCTGCTGCTCGTCCAGACTCTGAGAGAATGGGTTTGTTATTATTTTGGTGAACAGCTTGTAGACATGTGAGAGCAGGCATATTGGACAATAGTTCTTTAGATCTTCACGATCGCCCTTCTTGTACAGCAGAATGGTGTTGGACTCCTTCCAGCTAGATGGTATCTTCTGCATTTCCAAGTAACACCTAAACCTCTGAGCAAGGGTTTCCCAGAGGTCTTGGCCTCCAGCTCTTATCATTTCGATTGTCAGTCCATCTTTACCACAACAAACCACAATTTTGAAATGAAAAATTCAGAAGAAGTGCCTTTCGTCCTCCGATTGATTTTCATTTGGGAAAAAAAAAAAAGAAAAAGAAAAATCAGCCTTCCCCCTCCCCAAATCTGTAATTTTGGAAAATGAAACATTTCACCAACAGTGAGCATTTTCATCAGCTGAAAGCCTCTTTTGTGACAAAAACAAAACAAAAAAACAAAAATAATTCAAGTTGGAAAATTTTCAACCAGGTCTAGCCTCATATAATTATTCAGCCCTCTTTTTGTGTGCCCTTCATTCCTCTGGCAATGAATCCATCTTATGAGGTCCTACACTGATGTCACAGATACACCGAAAAAGATGCTAGGGAGGGTGAAGTGCTCTGTTGATCAGCAGTCTGTAAAGTTGTGATGTCTCAAACTGTCTACACTGCAGAATACAAAGAGTTTAATTCAGGCAGAGGTGGTGTGTGTGTGAGTGTGTGTGTGTGTGTGTGTGTGTGTGTGTAAAACTGGACTGAGACGAGCTCATAATTACAATAGATAAAGATTGGGAAGTCCCTCCCTCAGGCTGCTATGGCACATAATGTGCAGAGCAATGTAATGCCAGTCCTGTAGCTTCTCAGAACGAAACAGCATTTCTGATGCAAGATTTATAGACATTCTAAAAAAGACCCTCCCCATCAATTAATTGATTTGTAAATCCATTTTCAGTATGCTAAAGCAATCACACACATACTCTCTCTCTCCCTGGCAAATCAGGGACTTAAATCTAATGCTATAAGTACTGGTTTACCGATAATAGCTTCGGTCAAACATTTATATGATGAGGTATAAATCACAACTGAGATTCATAAAGCTTTTTTATTATTATAAGCAAAACGCTAAATAATATTTAGTTACAAAGAGCTCCCTCTAGTGATAGAATTTGTTTATGAACAAAATCTTTTATGATTAATCATAATAATTGTATTTCTATTAGGCTAGGTCTACACTATGGGGGGGGGGTGTCGACCTAAGATACGCAACTTCAGCTACGTGAATAGCGTAGCTGAAGTGGCGTATTTTAGGTCGACTTACCTGGCTGTGAGGACGGCGGCGAGTCGACCGCTGCCGCGTCGCCGTCGACGCCGCTTCCGCCTCTTGCCGCGGTGGATTTCCGGAGTCGACGGCAGAGCCATCGGGGATCGATTTTATCGCGTCTTCACTAGACGCGATAAGTCGATCCCCAATAGATCGATTGCTACCCGCCGATCCGGCGGGTAGTGAAGACGTGCCCTTAGAGTGGTGCTTAGATCAGGGCCCCATTGTGTTAGGTGCTGAACACACACATAGTAAGAGACAGTCCCAGCCTCAAAGAGCTTACACTCTAAACAGACAAGATAGACAATGTGTGGGAGGAGGGAAGTACAATTATTCCCATTTTACAGATGAGAAACTGAGGCACATAGAGATGAAATCATGTGGGAAGTCTGTGGGAGAGGCAGGAATTGAACCCAGATCTCCTGAATCTGTCTGCTGCCTTTGCCCCAAGGCCATCCTTTTGAGAGCCTCAGATGAAAAGAGCCATATTACAAATGCAAAGTATTATTACCGGGCTCAGCCCTGAAACCCTTAATTAGTCCTTTCTCAAGTATCTCTGCCATTTCCCTCAGTGGGGATTTTTACTGAATAAGGATTGCAGGACTGGGAACAGTATCATGAAAAACAGATAAGACAAAATTTTGGTTCAGCAATGGATTGGGTTCTGTGATAAATTCCTAGTAACTGCACTTGGGAGACAAGAGAAAGGAGTTCTGACTGACCGGCCTTATTCCCCAATACTATGCAGTGATACTTCTTCCAGTTCATGAAAAAGGGTGGTATAAAATCTAAGAATTACAGAAATCAGAAATGGAAAATATGTTGTCTGGCGACTACCCAGTTCACCTCCTTGCTATAGATATGCCCCCCCCCCCTTTCTGCAGGAGTGTATTTCCCAGAATAACAGACTTAGATCACTTTTCATGTTCTCAGCTCCATGCGTGAGTAGCGCAGAAGATTATACAGACTGAGATGTCTCTTGCAAAATAGTGATGTGAACAATTTTAACATGAAGTTATCTTTTTATCTCTCTTCTTTTTTCCTAGGGAGAACGAGGTCTTGATGGGTTCCCTGGGAAGCCAGGTGCGGAGGGAAAACAGGTATGGAGTGAATATTTGGGAGCAAGAGACTATTCTTCAAACTAGGCGTTAATGCACATTGAATGGGAAGGTGGCTGCCGAAATGGGACTTACCCCAGACAACTGGCGTATTGTAACTGTAGGAGCAGGCAGGCAGCTTATAAAATCATCAAGGTCTTTTTGAGCACCCAGTTCTAGTGGGACTGGTCCCTACGCTAAGCAGCCTTGTTCTACCCTGACCAATCTCTCGTCAACCAAGGAGCGCTGTGCTCCTAGTGAGGGGAATAGAACCGCCATATGATTATTTTTAAAGGATGCACTTTGTGTGGTGATGCGGTTATGGAGGAAAATATTGTATTGACTTCCAGCCCTAGCCTTCAAGCATTAGAACATTCAAAGGCCAGGCGACGGCAATGTGACCCCTCAAGACCTGCTGTTCTAGCCTTAGTACACACAAAGCAGTCTGTGTCCCCACATCTAGCCTCCAGGCCCTTCTTCCCCCAAGGAAACTAATCATTAATGTCACCTTGTGCTTCAGCAGCTATGTGGAGATACTTACAGATCTGAAGCATTTCCCCAGCACTTGAGTCAAAGCTGTCAGCAAATCTTTAGTGCCCTTTTAAAATGGGATTTCAGAAGAGATACTGTGCTCATTTGCACTGGCTGTAAGAGAGCTGATACCAAAGGGAATGTGTGCTCTTGCAGAATTAATGACAGGCCTCGATGGTGGAACTCAAATGTAAGTTATGTGGCTAATTTTGTACTCACCAGGCTGCAGCGTGGGTCCCTTGTTCCTCCATCTCTGTTTATTAAAATTAACCCTCAGACTGTTTCTTTTTCCATTGCCTCGCACCTTGTGTAGTCCTTTCTCCCTGTGCAAAGTGGATGTGCAACAGTGCCAAATTGGACAGGATGGAAGGGGTTTCCACTCACCCTGTACACAAGGGGACAGGCAATGAAGAAGCCGGCCATCGAGTCTCCTTTTGGTCTTGCAGTCTAGCCTCCCTGTGCCCTATGCTGATATATACTTTCTCATGCAATAGTACTCCTCCGAGTTCTTTCACTGTCTCCTGGTGTGATAACGTTCAGTACTCTGCTTATAGCTAGATCAGTTCCAGAGGTAACGCCGGGGCTGTTATGTCAATAGATTTTTGTTTGTGTGTTAATTCTTTTGATTTTGAGCTTTAAGTAACAATGCAAGTTATGTACAACAAATATGGAAATTCACTAAACGTGGTAGGACAGAAAAACTGCTACATCTTAATAATTCACAAATCATAGTGGGGTGCCCTGGCCGCTGGAGTTACGGTTCTCAAAGGAAGGGAACCATGTTTCACAATATGGTTACATTTTCTGGGTTTGGTTGTAATAAGTGAGTTTTTCCATCACCAGCTTCCAAACATAGTTAACCAAGATGGTAGCCTTGGAGAGGGTCTTTTTCCTTCCATTCACTGGTAACAGAACATCCAGTTGCTGCTAATTGGATAGGCACTAATTACTTTAAATATTTGTACTAAAATAGCATTTGTGGGTCTATCACAGAATACACTCACTGGTAGAGCGCCTCCTCCTGGCTGCTCTGGGGATTTACTCCATCCATGCCTGACACCTGTTTCCTGCATGTCACTCTTGCTGTGGCCCCTCTCACTCTCTGGGACTCAGCACGCTCCCTCTATGTGACTTGGCCCTGCGACCAGGTCGCTGTATGTGTTTCCACTTCCAGGGTAGCAAATTCTCTCCGGACCAACTGGCCAGCTGCCTTTCCAGGCTGTCCTCTAATCTAAGGCTATGCCACATTCACAGGGGCAGGAAGGGGAACCTGTGCCCGCCCACTACTCCGGGTCCCAGCACAGGCACCGTCTGTCCAGCAGCCACGGTCTGTTTAGGCCCAGACCTCATTGTGATTTCCCTGTGCTCCCTCCTACTTCCCTTCTCAGTGTTCTGGCCTGCCCATGGGGTCCAGCTCAAGCTCCCAACTCCCAGGGAATGTCTGCAGCCTACTTCCCCTGCAGCCTCTTCTGGTCTTAGCTTCCTAGTTTTATGCCAGCCCAGCCTACACCAGCTCAGCTGAGTTTCATCTTCCTTTATGCAGCCTACTAGGTCAATTAGCCCCTTCCAAGCTACCTTAACCCCTTCAGGTGCGATGTAGAGTGAACACCCCTTCACAGGGTCCCACTGAGATTGGGATTCCCTTACGCTAGGCCCTGTACATATAGCGAGAGGCAGTGCCTGCCCCCCAAAGAGCTTATGGTTTATATAGACAAGACACATAAAGGATGGGAGATGAAACAGAGCCCCACAGAGGTGAAGGGACAGGACTAGATGACCACTCGAGCTCCCTCCCAGTCCTATGATTCTATGACATGCCCAAGGTCAGCAGGTCAGTGACAGTGCTGGGCCTTGAAAATTGTCGGTGCAAATCACTGCAGTGCAGGCAAGCCAACCTCCAAGTGTCCAGGAGCATTTTGCCTCTTCAAGGTAGCACGCCTCCTGGTGCTCGATGCTGCCTGCCACCGTGGCCGTATGCAGTGGGAGGCTGGTGCAGTCAAGCCTGTTTGATCGAATGAGCTTTGGATGTATTTCTATTCATGATTGCACAGGGCCCAAAGTTCTGGAGCGGGGCGATGCATCAATTGAAAATGTATCTGATCTGAACATGCATGAATTGGTTCTGTCTCAATGCACTGTTCAGTGTTGCAGACACGATGCAGCCAGAATTTAGAACACTGGGAAGCAGAGAAGATAGGCTAGGGAGCTTCCTCCACTGTGTGGGCATCTGTGCTCTTGACATATTGTCTGCAGGTGAATGACTTGCCTGCCTCCCCTACACCTAAACTCTCCAGGTTACTTAGCAATTTGGTTCTGGCAGCCTGTGTTTGTACTTCCCTTCCAGTTATGGTGTCATCAGCCGACTTAACCGTGGTTGAATTTACTCTTTCCACTCTGTGGAATAGGATGGTTCCCAGGCCATCGCTCTGTTTTGCTCCCCCTTGAGAGCTCAGACCATTACCTCAACCAGTTTTTAACCTGGGCTATGGTGTTTTTTATTTTTATTTAGTTACTATTTAGCCAGTATCGTTAGAAGAGGGGACATGACACCTCACTGGGATCCTAATGTCCTGTGTCCGCTGCACCCATTCAGTTATGTACAGAACTAGTTAACATTTCCAGCTACACTGGTTGGATTGAGAAATTGCGAGGGCATCGTAGGGCAGAAGCTGATCATTAGCATCTCCTAGGGAGAGATTTCTCTCTGTGGTACCGCTGCAGAATTGGTGCATTCTGGGGCTTCTCCACCTGCTTTGGCTCTGGGCCACCAGCAGAGAGGCAAATCCTTATCCCCGTGCATAGGCTGGGCATGTGGGCCGGTCAGGACTGGAATCAGGAAACCCTCCCCCTTTCCCCAAGACCAGCCTAGCTGCTGAAGCAGCTGCTGCTGCCTCATCATAGCTGCAACAGCCCCCGCAGTCTGCAGGGCAGAGGGAAATGGCTTACAGATCCACTGCTCCAGCCTCCCCCTCGTTCCCCTCCCCACAGAGCAGAACAGAAGGAGGCCTTCCTCTTGTACCTGTTCCTGCCAGCCTCCTCCTTCATAGTCCAGTGCAGCCGCGGCTAGCTAATTCCATTACTTAAACACACTCCTGGTACCTTATCATTCATTGCTCCTGTGCTGCAGGCTGAATTCCCATGGGCGTGGGTATTTTGTCCCAGAAACTGGATCCCAGACAATGCAGATTGATGATCTGCTCCATTCCCCTGTCAGAGGACATTTAACCAAAGCCTTTGTCTGCACAAAATCGCCTCCTTTGGTTTTATTCAGATTAACAGGGGTTGGGGTTTTTTTTAAGTTTCACCGTATTGCTGAGTCACTAAGCCCTCGAGGGGATGTCTACACTGCCCCAAGTCTCAGAGCCTGGGTCAATTGACTCAGGCTCACAGGGCTCGGGCTGTGAGACTAAAAATGGCAGTGTAGACGTTCAAGCTCAGGCTGGAGCCCAGGCTCTGAGATCCACCCCCACACGTACGTCTCCGAGCCGAGACTGCAGCCCAAGCCCGAATGTGCATGCTGCAATTGTGAGCCCCGCCGCCTGAGCCCCACACATCGACTCGGGCCAGGCGCGGCCGTGCCCATGGGTCTTTGATTGCAGTCTAGCTGTATCCCGAGTCACTAGACAGATACAGGCCATGACCTGGCAAGATTATTCCAGTGCTAAGGGCTCGGCTAAAGGCTCTGGGTCTCCCCTGCACTGCAAATCATACTGTGTTGTTAATCTATTTTCAGGGCATTAAGGGCAGCACAGGCCCACCAGGTGCCAGCGGACCCAGAGGAGAAAAGGTGAGCTGGGGAAGGTGCCCAAGGAGCACTTCGAAAGGCAAACTCATTTCATTTTGAATAAACTCTCCTAGAAATGACAGTGCTGCTGGTTATCCCCATGGGTCTCAGGTGCAGCTAGCAAGTTGCTGAATCATTCTGAGAACTGATAGATGAAGCCCTGGGGCCTGATTTTGCTCTCTCACTAGGGTAGATCCTGAGTAACTCCACTGAAGTAAACAGAGTTAACTCTCCTTCAAAATTTGGTGCAAATGCCTGCTCTCCTGGAAGCCAATAGGCCTCAGTGGGAGCAAGAGCTGATCCAACAGAATCAAGCCCATGAATGTGTTTCTAGGATTTCCCGGAAATGGGGAGATCAACCAGCTCTTTGGTTAGACAAGTTGCTGGGGGAGGTTTTGAGTGGTGGAGGGATGTGTATATTTGGGGCAGCATGAATGATGAGGCATTGTCTGCGATGAATACAGTAAAAGCTGTGTTATCCAGCACTTTACCAGCTGAAAAGCTCTAGAAACTGGCATTTCGGGGTGTTGGATCCGGGCAGCGCTCGCCTCGGGCGGCTCCCCGCAAGTGGCAACATGTCCCTCCTGCTCCTAGGCAGAGGAACGGCCACGGGAGCTCCGTGCCCTGCCCCCACCCCGCCCCGAGCGCTGGCTCTGCAGCACCTGCAGTGGAGGCAACGTGCAGAGCCGCCTGGCCACACCTCTGCCTAGGAGCAGCAGGGACATGTCGTCACTTGCGGGGAGCCGCCCAAGGTGAGCGTCGCCCACATCCACCACCCCGAAACCCCTCCTGTGTCCCAACCCCCTGCACCGAGTCCCCTCCCGCCCTGAGACCCCTCCTGCACCCAAACTCCCTTCCTCCATTGGTAAATATAACTCTTGATTAATGCTATCAAAATTTTGAATTTGTCCCCAAAAGAAACGTTATCTATTAAAGAAATGTTAGGGAAGATCTCCCAACGCCTCATAGGGAACGATTGTTCATATAGCTTATGTACAATATGCAGTTTTCCTTGGGCATGCCCTCCTTCATTCTGATTATGGCCTGCATAGTTTTGCTTCCTGAAACAATGCCAAACACTTGTTTGATGGGATAATCTTGCGGTTGACAACTCCGTCAACAACAAATCATCCAAGCAGTTTAACAAGTGCTGCCGAAAATCATGCTGTTGTTAGCTCATCTGTAGATCATTTCTGTCCTGCCTTCCTGAGATTCCTCCCTGTGTTAACTGGAATAATTAACACCTTTTCTCTTGACATCCACGGGATGCAGCAGGCATTTGATCCAAAAGTCTATAGGAACTGGCTCAAAAAGATGAATGCATCACTACCTTTGCTCCTTCTCTGTTGCTCTGCTGGAGGAAACTTCAGACTGTCGGTGAAGATGTCCTGCTAAGCACAGTGGCCTTCCATTCCTGTTTTTTCCCCACCTGGAAGGACAATCCCTCATTCCTTGTGCTAGTGTTTCCTATGACTTTACATTGTGGTACCAATTTCTTAAGAGAGAAAATAATTGCTCATGAGAGGTTTTGAACTCACAGCCTTAGAGACTGCAGGCTTTCAGCCACAGAGGCACAGCTAACACCAATAGAAGCTTCCTCATGCTGCCCTACCAATGGGTCAGATTCTGAGCAGCCTCCTACCTTCTGGAGTCACTTACAGCTTGTGCAGGGGGGGTATAAAATGACACCAGTTTGCACATTTTGCACAGATGTAAATGACTTCACAAGAGAGTGGAGAATCCAGTCCAGTGTACCTACACCCTGAGCTGGGAGTTACATTCATGGTAGCGGTGAATACGATGCAGGGGCAAGTATACTTCCCAGATAACAAGGCGATGCAGTGCATGTATTTCTATTTCTGTATTTTGGATCAGATGCTTCCCTTACTTACACTTGTATAAATCAGGCCACTGAATCAGTGCTGTTACCAATGTGAAATGGGTCTGAATCAAGCCCCTTCGAGCTCTTTCCACACCGGATTTAAACCACTTGGAAAAGAAACTAGAAAGCCTACAATGGAGCAGAGTTTAGCTGAGAAAACAATGGGAAAATCGAGCTCAGTAAAGCGGAAGAGCCATCCAGGCAGTTAGAACGTGTTAGTAGGTCGCTTTCTGACTCAGTCTGTATACTGGAAGACACTTGAAAAAAATGACAAGCAAATGGGAGCTTCCCCTCCGCCCCGTCTTGATAATTATTCCCTGCTCTCAGATGTTTTTAGTGGAGAGTTTTACCTTGTCATTTTAGAACTAGTTATTAGACTTTCCAGGGCAGCCTTGTGACTCCCTGCTTTCAGTCTGTCATGTTTTTGTTGTTTCCTACCTAGTCCTGTGGCATTCAAGATAAAAAGGGGCTTTTTTTTTTTTACCCACAAAGCAGCTAAAGGATACTCTGATGAGTATCCAAGAATGCAGATACCAGAATCAAACCACTCTGTTTCCCATTATGTTTCCACTATAATTCCAAAGATACAGGGTGGGTTTTCCAAAAGCACCTAAGGGTGTTGCATGCTCTTCTCCTGTTGATTTTTAATTGGAGGTGGGCATCTATCTCCCTTGGCATTTTGGAAAATCCCAGCTATGCTGTAGAGTCTGCAGAAAGACACATACAAAATGAATAGAGTACCTCTGAAGCAGGAAGTGTGTAAAAGACATCATAGGTCTACCAGGGAGAGAAGGGAGCAATTAATGAACATAAGGACACTGCAGAGAAGCTAAATGGTATTTTTGCATCAGCTTGGTCCTGAATGGGTGTTGGGGTGACATCTCCCCAAGGCCTGCTCTTATAAAGTCATAAATATGAGGCACTATCAGAGACAGAGGTTTTGGCGCAAACTGATACATTAGAAGGCAGCTAGTCACCAGGACGGGGTGGGATCATCGAAGAGTCCTGAAAAAACGTACCGCGTGAGTCTGTTCTGTAAAGTGACTGTGTGAAAATGCCATTGTTGGCTTCCATGTTTGACTCTGCAAAGATCTGTGTCAAGTGTGCTTCTTTAACAAGAAAAATGTGTATATATATTTTTTTTTCTAAATTCCAGCCCTTCTGACTCTGCCTCGGATGTGAGAGTCAAGCTGGGTTCTTTCCATCTGGCATATGAACACCAGTAATAAGGGTTCTGCAGGCCAAGTTAGGGCTTATGGACCCAGCTCACCACTGCATTACTCCAGGTTTATGCCAGTATAACTTCATTGAAAGAAACTGTGTTACACTGGGGTAAAAGTGGAGTGGTAAATTCACAGTGGTGAACCAGGGCCTTCATGACACCTGTACAAAATGGGGAAGCTTTGAATATACAGTCCAAATCAATGCAATCTCAAATCTGTCTGGGAAGGTTCATGGGCACAGGCTGAGCATGAAGCGGACAGACCATAAGGGCAAGAGGCTGCTGTTGAAAAGAAGTTTGGGGGCTTATTTCTATTTCATTGCTTGTCTGTGTTTTCCCTTTCCACGCAGGGTGAAGCGGGGCTTCCCGGATTACCAGGCTCTGCAGTAAGAAGCTGCTTTAGCATTAACATGAGCGATGAACTATAATGCATGAGAAACAAAAGTGAGGAAGGCAGGGGTGGGCTGCGAGGATTTTGTAAACTTAGGGATGGATTTTGTGTGGGATTTTCAAATGATCAGGAAGCTTAAGCCAGTGAAGATTCCTGAGAGCAGGAGTTTGTGGCTTCTAGGATCCCAGTAAGGAGATTAACTGCATTATGAAGAGGCAGGATTTGAGGAGACCATAAAGGAGAGAAGTGAAATACCCTGGAGTCAGGGAGGCCTGGCAGTAATAAACAATTTTCAGAGGAATGGCCAAGATAGCGTCTAATGGAGTTGGTCTTTTAGGGAAGAAGATGGGCCTGGGAGATTAGAAGGCAGACGACAGTTCAGGGTCAAGTGGAACAGCTCAATCTCTGACATCGGGGGCCCAGTGTGAGATTTGAGAGAGGAGCTGGAGAAGGCAGACTTGGGATGGGCGCTGCTCTTCTTACCATGTAGCAGGGGATCCGCTGTGTGAAAGAAGTCACGGTGGAGGTAGGAGCTGAAGACTGCAAGGAAAGGGTAGCTGCAGTGAAGAGGATAGAGGTTTTGATTTTCCTCTCACACCAAATTTACACCAGTGAAACTCCAGTGACTTCAATGGAGTCGTTTTTCATTTGCTCTGGTGTCACTGATGGGGGAATCTGGGTTTAATATTGGCCACATAGAGGTGTCATCTACAGTTGAATTCAGCAAAGAGATTGCCACAGAGGACATCGCAGAGAAGAGAAAGGGTCAAGGACTGAGCTCTGCCAGGACCCCATAGCCAAGAGGTCTAGTGATTGGAGACTATCCATTGCCAATCGCACAAAAGAGGAGCAATTAAATAAGTAGAATCAGAGCATAGGGGAGTGAGATGCACAGGACTCCTGATGGCATGGGCTAGGATTAGAAAGAACTCATGGTCAGCAATAGCAATATGGACCTGTGACGAGGAAGGACTGGGAGCTAGAGACAGACAAGAGAAGACCAACGAGCCTAATACATAGAGGTAATAGGCAACTGCATCACTGTGAAAGGAGTGGAAGCCAGACTGAAAGCTTTGAAGAAGACTGTTTGGGTAAGAGGTTGGGAACTAACCCAAGACTTCGATGAGACATAGTAGAGAAATGGCAGTAGCTGTGGAGGCAGAGGGAGAGGTGTGTGAGGAAGGAATTTTTGAGCATTAATATGTGGGGCTGTAGACCTAAGGGGATTAGCAGTGGAGAGTGAATGGTTTCTTGTCCTGAAGCAGAAAAGTATGCAAGGCAGGAGGAAAACAGGGTGAAAGGACAAAGAACTGTCATTGACAATTTCACAGGGATGTATTTATTTACTTAGAATTATGCACACATCCTCTCAAAAGGAGCCTAGGCCAATGATGCCATGTAAAGACACTTGCAGCGTACATGCACGTGGACACCCAAAGGTCTCTAGGTTCTTTGTGCAACATTCCATCCAATAGCATCATGTTGTTACAGCAGAAGCCTAACCTCGCTGTTGGAGACTGCAGATAAAGCCAGACATAGTTGGCCAAATTCAGAGATGAGGGGTAACGGAGGAGCTGGAGGAAGGTGTCTGAAGATGTGAGGACCACTTGAACTTACACCTTCTTCCAGTCTTCAGCATGTAGGTTCCACCAACTTAAACGTCCTTGAACGTGGATGGAATGGGTGTAAATGGCTCTATGGGAGTCTGACAGAGTGAAAGGGAGCCTGCTTTAGCATAAGGGAATCTAAGGCCCCTATCATGCAAACATGCACATGGTTAATTTGAATCGTGATGGTAAGTCTCCCAGTGACTTCAGTGGGACAACTTGTGTGCTTCAAGTTAAGCACATGATTATGTGTGTTCAGGATCGGGGCCTAAGTTAGTATAAAGGAATCTAACTTACACGCCATCCTTGAATTTGGCCCATTGTTTATATAGTACCACTGGTGTTTATGGTGCTTTACAGGTAGAAAATAAGACAAGATCCAAGTAGCTTACAATCTCATTTATTAAGATAACACGAGTATTATTGTTCTTGTTATTGCATAGCAACTCAAAGATGCTAACCACGGCATAGAGAACCAAGAGATCAAGGTCATTGCCAGGACAAGCTATCTACATAGACAGCACAGCATAGTTCAAGGATGTGTGAGGAAGGGAGGCTGTGCTGAATCAGAGTTAAAGTAAGCAGTGAAGGTTAGCAGGCATCATGGGGGAGGGGACAGCTAGTACGGTTAGAAGTACAAAATAGAGAACTACTGTGTGCCTGAAGCTTTCTAGATGTGTCTTCCTCCTGTGCGCTCCGTTTTACATCTCTGGCATCTTAATTTCAGGTACAAACGGAAGGTCTGAAAGGAGAGCAAGTAAGAACCGTTCAATATCTCTATTGTACTAAATGTAAGAAGTAATAAGAGTCTTTTTTTTTTTTTAACACTTGAAGGGACACTGTCAGGTAACTCAGCTGCCCAGATCAGTTTTTGTTTTCAAAGCATGTTGCAAAGTCTAATATGACTAGAAATATTTTCATGATATGGAAAAAAAATCTTATTTGCCAATGCCTGAGAACCAGCAAGTGAAGCTGGCCAGACTACTCTCACGACGCCAGCTGAGTCTAACAGAGACCATAAACAGGGCAAATGGTGAAGAGTCAGTTACTCTGTAAAACTTCTTTCTGCTTTTTATACAATAAAAGGTGTGAATAGGGATTTTAAACGTGGTTTGATTTTTATCTGGATAGTGTCACTGAACATGGACACACAGACACTGACAGGAAGCCATTTGTTTGTGCCTCTTATTGCAATTTGCTTTTTAAATATGTATTTTATACTCTAAGGGCCCAATTCACGGCTGTGCTATTGCAAAGGGGCCACACAAGGCCCAGAAGAACACCCCTGGTGCAGGAAGCCCCCTATGAGAGCTTACTCTGACACAACCCCCCACTCCCTTCAAAGAGTCCTATTGCATGGAGTGTCCTAGAGGGACTGGGGATGTGGCCAGGATGGTCCTGTGATGTAAACGTTCCCCAATTGCCTTGGGCAGCTCAGCACAGGTTAGAGAAGCCCTAACTGACACGAGGGGCTGAACCAGCCCCAGAATTGAGGGAAATACCAACTGGGCTCTGCACTGGCTCATGAATGAACTGGGGCCTAAGAGAAAAACTCTCCTGGAGGCAGAGGGTCAGTAAGGCTCTGTGCCCCAATTCACCCCCCATGCAGAGGGCCAGCACAAACTCCATGCACCACTTACAGCCCACTTATACCTTCAATATAGGACTCAAGTGGAAATTATGGTACGTACATAAGCTTTGTGCTGGCCTTTTGCGTAGGGGTTAACTGGGGCACAGGGCCTTTGCATTGCAACTCCTGTTAGGAAGGAAGGGAGGCTCAAATTGTGCATATGACCCTTGTGCCCTGAGTGAATTTCACACCCCACGCATACAGAAGGCCTGCTCAAAGAGACGTGGCAAATGTATCAGCAGCTGCCCTTGGAGTCATTATCTCAAAGAGGAAATCAGTTACTTGAACACTGACGTTGGGTTCTTTATTTATTTTCATAGGGGGCCCCAGGCCCACGAGGACCACAAGGCCCACCTGGAGTTCCAGGGGCACCGGTAAGTAGTTTCTTTTACTGTAATATTGGTTCATATAGGCCGAAATTCACTCTAGCACAGGGGACCCACCCAAAACCCTATGTGCTACTCAGGCCTTGTATGAAGAGCTTAAGTGGTGTACGCGTCCTTAGATCTTCTGCATTGACAAGAGGAATTCACCCTTTGTGGAGGAACCACTCAAAGCCATGTACCACTTAATCCCTGAGGGTGGTGCATAGGACGTGGGATGGCCTTCTGCATGGGGTGAGTGCCACCCATGGGGCCCCATCTTGCAAGGTGCTGACTGCTCTCAACACCTGTTGATTTCCTGGGAAGCTGTTGGCATTCAGCACCTCTCGGGATGGTTTTCAAACAGGAACCTTGTGTTAACTCCTAGACAACAATATCATGAACCTCAGATTAAGTTTGCTACAGAAGGGAGCGAAATCGCCAGAAAAACCTCCAGGCCGAGAACATTACAAATGATTTATATATATATATATATATATATTGGGAAGGGCAGGGGGAGTATTTTCCAATAAAATCTAGACATCTGAACATTCTCTCCATTTGGCTTAACTGTAGCCTCTTTTCCTTAGCTATATCTTATGATCTAGTTCTAGAAGCCAGCGCTTATCACACCATGATTGTTACTTCATTTTCACACAGTCTGTTTGTTCCCACTCCGGAAGCTGCAAACTGTCCTGTCTTGCTGTGACTATTGTATCATGCTTTGGAAAGTTGTCGACATTATGAAGATGTATTGCTAAGTAAGCAAGGCAAAGCTGATTTAATATATACACCCAAGTATGGTTATGGGCTCCCCTTATTTAATCAGCACATTGACTCACCTTCTCTATGCTGTTCTATCGTCCTAAGCGTTCACGAGATAACGTGCTTATCAGATAAAAGGCATCCGGATACCGATGCTTCGCAGCAATAGCGCAGAACTGAGTGAAATTGCCTGCACTCGTCAGTGTTTTGTCTTAGTAGTACATTCTCTGTCAACGGTTTCTCTTTGAAAGGGTCCAGCCGGTTTGGAAGGCAAGGCCGGAGTTCCTGGTTTACAAGGTCAAAGGGTGAGTTGATGTTTTTATTTCATAACTGTCTCAGATGTTCAGCAGGGTGGCTACTTTGTTTTGATAGGGCCTCTAGTTTACACAGGCTTTGTGCTGATTTAGCTATTTCAATGAAGGGTGTAATTTCCCTATCAAAATAGTTAAATCGCTACAGCCCCTAGTGTGGATGCAGTTATATCAGTATAAAGGTGTCATGTTAGATTGCGATTCCTACAGAGGACAGCTCGCTTACTTACCAGATCAGCGGTCGGGGTCACCAATGTGGTTAGATGTTGGCGGGGTGTGTGTTCATTCAGTGTGCTGCCCCAGCTCTGCGCAGATAGTGGAGACAGCAGACCTCAATTAAACAGCCCAATAAATCCACAGACTCGGTTTGTAGCGAAGGCTCCTGGCCAGGTTTATTGTTGACGAAGCGCGGCAATAGCGCCTGGGCAGGACTTTACAAGGCTACTAAAACATGCATGCTCGTGACAATGGGCACGGCTGAGTCAGTGGCAGGACTTTCCACTGCTCCCTAGGCTGGCCAAAGACACTCCCTCTGAGATACATCTTTATACCCCGATACAAGCAAGTTAGTACTGCCACTGACATAGTTAGTTACTGCCTCCCCGACGTGGCTAGTTATCACCCATCATCTTGTACATGTTGGTTCTGTCAAAATATCTCTATTATGTACTGTCATCCTGAGCTTATCTTTCAGGAGGGCTCAGCGTGTTCCTGTTATCCTTGGGGAATGTTTCTGTACCATCCTTGATATTGGGATGTTCAGATACCACTTGATATCGGGATGTGTTTGCGTGAGCACTTTGTGACTAGCACTTAGGAATGTGTATTTCTGCAATATCAGCCCTGTTCTTGCCACATTCTATGAGCAGGTCCTGCCTCATACCAGGCCTCTGATACAAGGGCTTATGTCTCAGGCTCTCTTCTGTCTACAACCGGTATAGCTTATTTCCCAATAGCTATAGAGATAGAAGGCTCCTCTATACCAGTAAAACTTCGCCGACACTGGGGGCGTGCCAATTAATCTGCATTGGTCTAGTTAAAAGGTACAATTTTAGTACCCTGCAGTAGACAAAGTCTGAGACACAGTGCTATTAACGACTGTCCAGAATGTGCAAATAACACCCCAGATTTGGGAGAAAGAAGCAGGGTTGACATAATATTACAAATTTCCAAGATACTTGCCCTTTGTTGGCTCATGCACATGGCTGATCATTATTTTCAGGTTGCCAGTGACCGAAGCTGCAGTTACAAAACAAATTTGCAGTTTTTTGTTCTCGTGCATCCATCCTTCTCTCATGCACCCGCTCGCTTTGTGTCTGCGTCTGCCACCCTCACTCACGCTGAGTGCTGCTAACTCCCACCCCTAGTGCCTTTGGACTCAATGCAAGTACTCAGTAGGAGAAAGAGTGGGAGAATCAGATCCTCAATGATCTACAACAACCCAGTAATAACTGTGTTCACATTGAGAACTCAACACTCTGAAAATCTGAGTGGGTTTATCTAACAGCGAGGGACTGTTAGAATTGCACGGCCTTTCTGCACTAGCTTGTGGAGTGGGACCAGCATGCAAAGGAGAAGATCCCATGAAGGGGGCAAGGCAGAGGACATGCTGGGGGCTCCAAGGGGTGTTCAGAATGGTCACTTCCCCCAAGTGGAACAGCTCTCCACTGCCCTCAAAGGTGCCATTCAGTCCAACAGGCACAGAATGGTGGAGGAACCTTGAGTTGACCTACAGATCAAAAAACGGTAACCACGTATTTGCCACCATAGGCCGGGTAGGGCATGAGAGCAAAGGCAGTGAGGGAGTGGCTGCAGAAAGGTGGATTTCTGGCACATAGCAGTGTGCCGGAAATAACCATATGCATTTGCACTCCAGATAATTTAATATATGTCCAGAGTTCACAGTGGTCAAAATAACTCAGACTTTATTTCTCACCAGCATGTGCCTTTTGAAGGGATGCTGTTGGGTCAAAGATAGCCAATGCAGGGAGGTTTTGTAATAACAAGCTTTCCGAAAACTGAGGCCAATAGAAATGTATCCAGGAATTTAATAGTCCAGTGGAAACTTTAGGATCAAATAGATATTCCCATGCAGGGTTTGTGACTTTGTTTGGAAGTGACATAGGAGCACAAGTCACATTGAATATTCAGACCTATTGCTCTTCTAAACAAACCTGCTGTTTAGTTGTGTACATTGACTTCCATGGGAGGATCTAGGTACACGGTGTGTATTCACAGGGTGGTGTGTGTGTGTGTGTGTGTAACATCAGAACTTTCAAGAATGGAATCCAGGCTTGATCCCATTGATTTCAACAGAATAGTGCCCCTGGTTAGAGAGTAGAGAGAGCTACACCTATGTATGTAAATTGAATCTTCCAAGAAATGTCATCAACGCAGAAGTCATTTTGGTGGAGTAATGCTAAATTAATCAAATCTGCTTTGGATAGTTAGTCCCCTGTGTTTAAGTCTTTATTTCCTGTTGGTCTACGTTAAAATAAAATGCTCACAAAGTGCTAGCTCATCATTTCCCAGAGGCTTCACAAAGTGTTTAGTGAGATTCCTCTTGGTGTAGTGTTCTCTTCACGATTGCGGTGACCCAGAGCCCTGGCTTGAATTATTTACGCACTGTTTAAACGTGACATCGGAGCGGCTATGGTTGATCATATCACACGGAAACTTTGAACTCACCTCCCCTTGTTTTAGCCCAGTGATGTGAGGAGCGTCTTTTCAGACAGCAGAGTCCAAGGCTGGAAGTAAAGTACACTCTGCAGATGGTCACTGCAGTCTCTGTGCTGCTGCTGTACTGTTTGATTAGCCAACCTTGCACTGCAGTGGTCTCCAACCTTTTTACACCCAAGATCACTTTTTGAATCTAAAGGCAACTCAGGATCTACCCCGCCCCTTCCTCGAGGCCACGCCCCTTCACCAAAGCCCTGCCCCGCTAACTCCATCCCCCTCTCTCTCCGTCACTCGCTCTCCACCACCCTCACTCGCTTTCACCAGGCTGGGGCAGGGGTTGGGGTTTGGGAGGGGGTGAGGGGTGCAAGCTCTAGAAGGGAGTTTGGGTGCAGGAGGGGGCTCTGGGCTGGGGCACAGTGTTGGGGTGTAGGAGGGAGTACAGGGTGCGGGCTCTGGGTGGGAGCTTGGGTGCAGGAGGGGGATCTGGGCTTGGGGAGAGTGTTGGGGTGCAGGAGGGGGTTTGGGGTGCTGGCTCTGGGAGGGGGGGTCAGGCCTGGGGCAAGGGGTTGGGGTGCGGGAGGGGGCATGGGGTTCTGGCTCTGGGAGGGGGCTCAGGGCTGGGGGTTGGGGTGTAGAAGGGGGTATGGGGTGCTGGCTCTGGAAGGGGGCTCAGGGTGGGGCTTGGCGTGCAGGAGGCGGTCCATGGTGCAGAAGGGGGTATGGGGTGCTGGCTCTGGAAGGGGGCTCAGGGCTGGGAGTTCGGGGTGCAGAAGGGGGTATGGGGTGCTGGCTCTGGGAGGGGGCTCAGGGTGGGGCTTCAGGTGCAGCCTCCTGCTGGGCAGCACTTACCTCCAATGGCTCCTGGTCAGCGGCGGGCACAGCAAGGCTAAGGCAGGCTCCCTGCCTACCCTGCCCCCACACCACTCCCGGAATGGGCCAGTGCGCCCCTGCCACCCCTGGGGTGGGAAGGGTGGGGGGCACATGGCTCCGCGCGCTGCCCCTCTCTGCAAGCACCACCCCCGCAGCTCTCCTGGCCAATGGCAGCTGCAGGGGCGGTGCTTGCAGGCAGGAGCAGCGTGCGCAGAGGGAGATTCCTGTCCCCGCCCACCCCAGGGGCCACGGGGCTGCAGTGGCCGCTTCCGGAAGCAGTGTGGGGGCAGGGTAGCCATAGGCAGCCACACTGCGCTGCCGCCAGAGATCGCAATCGACTGGGAGAGCCTCTAGGATCGACCAGTCGATCGCGATTGGCCGGTTGGTGACCACTGCTTGCACTGCAATCATAGTGAGTTAGTGATGCATTCATACACGAGGACAGCACTGGAGGTTCATTTTGCCTAGACATCTGTCACCGGAGTCGGCAGCAAAGCTGTTTAAAGAACTCACATTAAAGCTACCTATGATCTAAGAAAAAAGATACAGGGGAGAGAACATCTCTCTGCAGCAGGCTTTGCTGCACGCCTTCCGCTGAATAACGTGTCACAGAATCGAACGACATGAGCTTGACTGAAGAGTCGTCCCATGGAAATGATAGCACATACGCTGGAACAGGTTAATTCCTTAATGGAAAAGGGCCCTTGCTTTAGCTGTCATTTCCTCCGGTGCTTAGAAAACAGAACCTCCGTTATCTCTTTAGCAACTAACTGTCTTGTGCTTTGTTGATGAGACAAGATGTTCCACGTTGTCCCTGATTTTAAAGCCTGCCTGGAAACACTGCTTCTCTAATCCGATTAATAGACTGTATCCGTTAAGTAAAAGACCATGATCTGTCAGGATTTGTGGCGCGACATAAAATGCTTAGGCTAATGACCAATTCAGGAGAGCTGTCATTGAACGCATACTGTGTTTGAATGTTTCCCTGGCTGCTTTGTTGTGCCTATCTATGAAACATCTTAGGGGAGGGAGTTTGGTCAGTCGCTAAGACACTTAGCTGGATAGAATTTTTTAATTGAAAAAATTGCCATCCAAGAGAGCGTGTGACTATCTGAGGTGTGCAGAACCCTGAACATGGGGGTCTGTAGTGACATCCAGCAGACGTGGAAGCTGTAGTAGACTAGCAGAGGCCACTGTCACACCGCCACTGTGATCCACGAGGGGTTTGAGCTACTTCTAAGCTAGCAGCCAGACCTGTAGTGGCACAAATTCTCCTCCCTTCTGCCTATGCACACAAACAAGCTGGCTCCGTAGAAGCAGTGTGATCTGCTGAATAGGACACTGGAGTGGGAATCTGGACAACCGGGTCCTATTCCTGGCTCTGCCACTGTGGTGTGACCTTGGGCAAGTCACTTTACCTCTGTGTGTCTCAGCTTCACCTCCTA